TGGACACCAGCTCGGAAGTCCACAAGGGAGGGCTCTTTCTCCAAGAGTCAAGGGCAAAGGCAAGGCCACCCGCCTTAAAGGCAAGCAAGCAGGGATCTTGTAGAGCCGTAGAGCTCTTCAGCCTCTATCACTAGCAAAGTGCCTCACCCTGCAGGTCCTCAAGCAGGTTGGGTAACCCAGGTCAAAAACAGTGTTTGTGCCGTGGCGCTTGGGGCTTCCCGCGCAAGCTGGGCTTGAAACGGGAGCCAGCTTAAGCCGCTCACAGCTTGAGCCAAACAAACTCTCTCTCTCTCTCTCTCCCTCTCTCTCTGTGTCTCCCATTTTGTTCCCAGGACATTCCAGGACCTTCCCTCCTGAGGTTTCACTGTGAGTCCCGAAAAAGCTCCGGATCTGCAGGTCGCCATGGCCACCGTCTTGTTCGTGGCAACACTAGAATACCCCTCCCGACGAGGTTCTCAGCTTTCGACAAGATCGTTGTCCCGAACCTGATCCTTCAGAATCCGCAAGATACACCTCAGAGCAGGATCCCCCATTTGTGATGTGTCAAACCTTCCAGATAGTCCATGCATTCTTGGATGGATACAAACATCTGTATAATATTTCTGCAATAAGTATACCTTGAGTCTCCAAAGACCTTTTTTTTATGCGTTTTTGTTTTGGGTCTAATATTTTTGCGTTTTTGCTAGAAAAACGCCTTTTTCAGAGATGAGGACTCAAAAAAAGGTACAATGTGAATCTTCATCCGGACGCGTCCGGTGCGGACGCTTAAAGACGCTTTTTGGATGCAAAAAGACGCGTTTTGGACGCCGAAAAAAGGTCTCAGGACACTGTCTAAGGAGGATCTGACAGGGCACAAACAAAAAAGGAACATTTCGTGACATATGCAAAAAAACGTGCTTTCTTCCAAAAACCTCTTTTTCTTGGAAAGGCAAAATTAAAAGGGTCATTGGAGAGTGAAATATATAATCTTATAGCTGTCCAATGTTTTACATTTTTTCAATATCCAGAAAGCACCTACAATGTCTTTGCAGAAAAAAGGCCCTTAGTAAGGCCTTTTCACATGCCTTTTCGACCGCGACTTTTTCGCACTATCGCTGATCACGTGAAGCAGCTTCCCATCCACTCTACGACATGCAGTTTGACTGCTGCAGCTGAATTCTTCCTCCCCTGCGTTCCCTTGCAAAGCCCTATCGAGCATTGCTGCGGCAGGAGCAATTCCGTGACATGTGTGCCTATCGCGTCTGGTCACCTCAATATAGACATGAAACCAAAGCAAAAGTCTATTAACAAACAAAACACCATCATCTCAACCAACAGTCTGTCCTTTATGGAAGCATTTCAATTGCAGCACATCGCTATTGCACGAATGTTTGCGCTTCAAAGGAACAACGTCTCAACTGACCCAGGCCAGGGAATTCCTGGAACCGGCCCGCCAAAAAGAAAAGCGCCATCCAGAAGGCTCCCACCCCATCCAGGTGACCAAATGAGATCTACCGTGTGTTTTCGACCCAGGCAGCACCAGGTAGATCAGCTCTTCTTCAGATCTGCTTCTCAATCTCTGGGGCCCTTGGGACTAAGAAACAGGTGATGCAGCCGTCGATTGCGCCACCGGACCTCATCTTGGCGTTTCGGTGTGTCGATGCGACGATGACCAGCCCTTGGGCTCTGCTTCCAACGCCGGTGTCTGTGTGCGGGAACCGGGACATTGACACAACTCAACATGTCACAAATGTCCAACAAGCTGAAGACTACTCCCCCTGGATATATTATGGAAGTGACAAATGGTCCCGTGGATGAACATTCTAGACCATTATACAAACAGGTGGCTTTCCACTTCGAGATATAATGATTTCGAGTGTAGCACCTTGAAAAAGACATCACGCCTTTCACAATACGTCCGTCTCGCCGGTGACACGTTACAAAGGAAGGAAGTCTTCCAGGACTTGAAGGGCCTCAGTGCCATTGCTACATCCCAAGAATAAGCTGTCCAATCAAGCCAGCCACCCCCGCGATGGCCTTTTGAAGTCCAAGAAGAAAAGGCCCCAACAGCAACGACTTCACTCCAAACAAAACCACACCCTCTCCTTTCCGAGGCGGTTCGATCGGCTTCCCCCGACTCTCTTCCTCTCCCAGTCCGAAACAATCTGCCCAAATTCCCTCCTCCCTGCATCTCTCCGATTGCGTCACAGTGTGTTTCGCCATGTCACCGACTCATGGCCAGTCGCTGCCAGTCGCTCGTCGCTGGACGACGCCACTTTAGGCGGAACCTGACTGCAATCGAAGCGACAGACGTGCAACATCCGTTTCGTGACATTGCGGGAAACCTGTCGGGGAGCAGCAATAGGAAATCCTCCAGCTTTGACCAAACACATTCAGAAACCGATTCGCGGATCAACGAAGCATGTAGCGAGCCAAATGACATGCTGAGCAATCCGGCCTTGCGGGATAGATTCTCAAATGAGGCAATGAACGCCCTCCTGACAATGCAGTATGGCTTCTGGAGATGGACCGGCCACTTCATCGCAAAAGGTGTTTTGTCTGCGTGAAGAACAGCGAGGTAAGCGCTGCTTGATTGGCACATACGATTGCAGGTAACATATAGGATTATTACTATGAGGCACCATTGATCTTTGCAAAGCATGGCTCCCTGCTCACCAGAATCCCACTGGGCCCCACTTTCTCTCGATTTGGGCTGTCTCCGGTGCGATCATCTTTCGCATTGCCACGGGCGGAATCGGCGTGGAATTGGCCAAATGCCGAGGAAGGCACAAGATCCTGACCTTCGGTGGGCCAGCTGTCACTTCATGAAGCCATTTGCAGGATCACTTGTTTCATACCGACCAATTGACGAATCTGGGGACCGCCATCGGTACGAGAAAGGCCCAGGGTCCGTCGACGGGGAATCCAACTACGAAAAGGTCTGGCACAGCGGGTCACCTGGTAGTATGGGAGTAGGAGGGTTCGAACAACTCCTTTGGCAATCCGAAGTGCAAAAACCACGTAGGCCATCAGCCAGCAGCACTATCAGGACATTGCGCCAGCAACTCAGTTCATTGATTCCAAGAGTAGATGCTGTCAAAATGGAGTAGCCCGGAACGTGCCCTGTGCTACGTGCATATTTGTGCATATATGCTTCCCCCCAGAGACTCCCATAGACATGGAACCACCTACCAAATTTTGACCTCCTGATCTTGTGAATCTTGTGATCATTTTGGCCAAACAAAAACCGTCCTCGGCTGCGCCACACATGCAGCGGAAGATTGGAAAAGTGCTCGCCAGGATGACTCTCAGAAGCCAGAATAGGAAAAACAACGCTATTGGTTATTTTTACATATAGACCGACCCCCAAATACGTAGAATAGTAAATCCCCACGAAGAAGTGTTTTGGACACCGTGCCACGGTGTAACAAAAACCATCACACTGGCGAGTTGCCAGTGCTTGTGTGGATGTGCCATGATCCATGATGCATCTGGATCATCGCAGGTGCGCGTTGGCGGGTGTGTGTGTGTGTGTGTTTGCCTGTTCGCTTCATCCAAGGAACTGTACAAACATGTTTGGGATGTGTTTGGATGAATCACTGTATAGGCATCATTTTACCACATTCCAAAGCAATGACCTGCCCATCCTGGATCTTCCTATATTCATCCAGCAGGTCATTGGGAATCCATCGCCAGCCACGGTTTGTGAGAGATGGAAAGAGGGAAGTACGGTGGAGAGGGAAGTGCATGTTTGGCATATGTACCTCAGTGAATTTGCAGGATTTGCAGGATTTGGTTAGGATTTGGCATATGGTCCAGAGTAAGTACCTCAGTGAATTTGCAGGATTTGGTCAGGCCACTTACTTTTGCTTACCGCCGGCCAACTAGGCTGGAGCGGACGGACGCCTGCGTCCCGGAACGTAGGGACTGGTCGTCCGAGCCAGCGTCCGAGCCAGAGCCCTGGGGTGTGCGGCAGGTGCAGGAGCACTTGCAGGTGCCAGTTTATTCAACAACCTACATGGGGTGGTTTCAGGGGTCAACGTATGTAAATATGCCCTGCATGGAGTGTCAGTGTACAGTGGTTCCAATTTAAGCCGGCCCTGTGTAAATGCAGCATGTCATATGTACACATTACATATAAATATATCTAAATAATTACTGACCATATATATATATATATAATATGAGTGAACCGGTTGTGCATCTATGCCAATACTCATTGTAGCCAAGTCCTTCTTTCACCGGGGGATTGTTCCACCATGACTTTGGCCGCCAATAGATCCATCCGATACAACTTGGGTTTGTCAAGTGCTCTAGTACTACATAACGATATATATATATAACTATATATGCTTCCATGTGTCCAACCTGGCGATGTCCCCTCTCAGGGGCCCGAAATCGAGCAACGGGCTTTCCCGGAACCCGCCATGAGCATGGCAGTGAAAGCTGCGGTGACTAATGGTATCCTATATAGATGGGAACTTTGGAGCAGGTGTAGGATCCAAAGAGTGCTCCATCCCGGATCCCAAACAGTTTAAATGTGGTGCTCCATGTGCCGGTGACCTTGCTTTAGGGGTAAACATGCGTTGAGCGATCAGCCATAAATCCGCGTATTGGAGGCAAATATTCCATCCATTCGACCATTTGACCGAGGATTGGTTGGCTACACCACCGAAGAGCTTCCGCCCGGTTTAGATGTCCAACCGCCCGGGAAAGCTCCCGCCATGGCAACAGAAAGACGAATTCAATTCACCCATCGCCCAACCCAAAAATGCTACACCCAAACACCAATCTGTCTGAATCGGGGGTTTCTTGCTGAATGCCACCATTCATCACTGCCACGCCTGTACTCAAAGGATGCAAAACTGATGTGCAGGGCAATCTTGCCGACCAGTATCCAAACTTTTTGCACTACTGGGGCGTGTGTGGCGTGCCCATCTTAACCCAAACCTGCAAGTTGGCCTTCAACTGTGTGGCGGATGCTCATGACATGGAAAGCTGAAGGAGCTGAACATTGACATGGCATGGTGGGATTTTGATGGACACCACCTTGACGATCTACAATCTCAATCATAGCTGGCACAAGCTCGCCAGAAAGCCAGCTGGAGACACCAACAGGGGAGTGCTCTGCCAGCCACAAATCAGCCGACATTGAAGACTAGTATACACCACTATACAGTATAAATACACTGCATAGTATACACCACTATACACCACTATACACCCTTTCATGGATGTATCAGTATCTTTCATGGATGGCTTCACTGCTCCACCGCTTTTCTTCATCCGCTCCTGGACGATCGATCGAGAAAGCGGCATCGCGACCACTGCCGGCCCTCGTTTCAATCCGGATGGAATGCTCCGACCACTCCGACTCTCCAACATGGAAGTGGAAAAACCCTCGTTCGGTAAGGAAAGTAGTCTTCCAATAAACCATTTTTCACGTCCATGTTAATTAGTGAGTCAGTGTAATTGCTGCGGATAAAGGGGGGGATCCGGATCCACTAGCAAAACATAACGGCCCTGAAAAAAAAAAACTATATATGTATAAATAATAATAGTAATAATAATAACAATAACAATAAACATATGTGTATATATATATGGCAAGGACTTTTGGTACTGCCCATATTGAAGCCCACACACTGATCTTGAGCAGCCCGTGCTAATATCTGATCAAAGGTCGTCCCTGTCTTCACATTCTCGGGCAAAAAGTGCACCGCTTTGATACCAGGAGCAAGTAGCAGGTGGGTGCAACATGTTGACTTCAGGGAGCTCAAAACTCCCTGACTCACCCCTCTTAAAGCAAAAACGGTCTCTATATATGTGTCTCTATAGTTAGTAAATGTTAGTATTGTGTACTTGTGTAACAGGAGCTTCATCATCAATACATATCTTGCCTGGACAACTAAGCTTTGCTCGGACAACTTCTTAAAAAAACACACCCATGCGATGTGCAATCCCACTCACAGCTTCGATCCGGGAAATGCAGTCATCCAACGGGGAGCAAACTCTCCGCAACAAGGGGCTGCATTCTCATGATGAAGTCCCTTGTCAATACTACACCCAAACTACATGGAAAGAATGGAGGCATTTTCACATTCCTTGATGGATGGTGGATTTATGTGGTTTTGAAGGCCTAAGTCCTTTAAGGTAGCATTCTTGATTTCCCATGTCACAGGTTGGCTTTCGCCCTTCTTTTTTCACACCCTCCTTCCGGCTCCCTTGCCGTCCTCAAACTTCCTCCGGCTGCACGACTTCCCCCGGTAACACGGAGGCAAAGCCCGGGGCCTCCCCCAGGCGCTTCCCCTGAGGTTGCGCGGCCAGAGTTCAGTTCCAGTCGCGCGGGAGCTTGGGAGCGTGGAGGTGAGGTCTCGGACTCCAAAAAGTTGTTCAGTGACATGCTCAATGTTTAGATATGGCTCTTGCGTTAAAGGGGGCCCACCTCAAGACCCCCCTGGAATCATTTCTGGAATCGCAACCCCCATGTTTAGATTGGACTCTTCGACTCCTTCGATCCAGGACAGCTTGGAGACTCTATCTGTGATTTTGGTTGGTTCTGGCCGACGGAAAAACACACAAACCACGCAGCGTCCCTTACTAGTATATAGTTTAGCGTTAGTAAGGGACGGTGTGTGTGCTTTTCTCAGGCTCTTTTGTGAGGGCCAGGTTCTCGTTGTAAGCAGTGGTGAGCTTCAGGACAGCCAACGGGGACCCAAAGGCAGGAGCAGTGTCATCCTGTTTGGAGCAGTCAAAAATGAGTTAACCTACAAATACCTATACATTACACCAGGATGTTGCCTGATGTGCTTTGACCAAGACCTGTCAACATTTGACGTGACTTGATGTAATTAAATCTCTTCAATCCCCAAATGTTTGATCTCTTCGGTTGCATCTTTGAAAGGGTCACCATGTGCCATTCGTTCACAGCAACAGGCTTCCCCTACCGACTCCTGCGTGGCTCTCTTGTGGGGACCAAGTGGCTTTTGGAGGCAGCACCATGTCCTTGGAGGATTGCTTTCCAGCAACTCTTTGCCAGAATGACAGCCCTGCAAAATTTGAACCAACCGCAGAAAATTTACGATAGTTTACGATGTTCGTTGCTTCTTTGAACCAGGCGAATGGCAAGGGCTCGGAGGTTTAATCATATATTTTGTTTAACATGTTCAAGATATGTTCAAAATGCTTAACAACCATGTTGCCATGCGAAATCATCATCTGCGCTGGGGGGGCAACTACGTAAACTTGTAATTTCTGCCCATAAATGCACCTTGCTTGATACTTATATGCATGCTACCTTTAATCCAACAAACATGGGCGTGGACAATTCCCTGCGAAGGGAAAAACCATCTTCCCAGGGACATGTTCTACTTTCATGATTGTTTCAGGGAGTGGCTGCCCTTGTGCCATTTGGAGTCATACCACTCAATCAAATTCTCCGTTTCTTTCCTTCAAAACACAGAAAGACTCATCCCATGTCAAAAAAGGTCAAACAAAACACCCCTTAGCCGCAGCCCCTTCTCAAGGTTCATGAAGCCTTGATCCACCCATCTGCACTTGACATCTCAACAAAAAAGGTTGGCACCCTTTCGGAGCCGGATAATGGCTTCTCCAATCTGCTTCTGAAAAGAATTTGAGGGGACTTTTTGACTTGGGCCCAGTTCTGGGCATGCCTGCAGCATGCCCAACTTGTGCGCCTCAAGAAAGACGAAACACAAATGCCCAAGCCCCTGCAGTTCACGTGGTCTCAGGTTTTCTGTCGGCTTGGTTTATGACAGCCGTCTCGTAACCATGTCCGGCTGTAAGAATCTGTAGGATGGGACCATCGCAGCTTCAGTCCCAGCAAAAACGTCGAAGTGACTAAGTGTGTCTTAAAATAGGACCCGGGCAACGACCCCCTGGAAGAAGGAACATAGACTAAAAAATGACTAAAACCCAACGGACCAGGGTGTGAGGGTGTCTCTATTAAAACCCACGTCCATTTTGTCACCGACATGGGGCATCTTTGTTCTCCAGCTGTAGGAGACTTAGTCTCAAAAAAGCCCCCACGAGCTGACAGCCCTCTATAGTGGATTGAGAGTAGATGGCGCAATCCCGAAGTTTGGTGGTTTATATCGGCCCCATCTAAAAGTCATGTTTGTGTGCCATTGCCGTCGTAGGAGAGAATAGACTTGAACCAACATGCAAATCCTGCCCAAACTGCGGTGCTCCCCAGCGCCGGTGGAGAGAATAGATCTTCCGAGATGCAGGGCATCTGAGTGGACAGTAGGTACTGCGATGCAGCCATTCTCTGATGCAGCTGGTGTGAAAAGTGTGGCCACATGGTAAGCGCGCGGCATCATCTTCTTGCTCGATTTCCTTGGCAGGGAAAATGGAGAATCGGATTTCTGAATAAGCAGCTGTTGACTTCAAAAAGCAGTCCCACGCTGGATTTGGTCATCCTTGTGTTGATGGCCCAAGTCCTGTCTTGACTGGGGGATTCTCCTTCTGATTTCTCCGGCTACAGTGCTCACTCTTAGAACCCCCTCCCTTCAACCCATCTGCAATTTTGCCCCGTCAGCCCGTCAACCCATGTTTTGCAGCAACCGCAACCGTCCAACCCGCCCAGCTTCGCATAAGCAGATGCTGCAGGTCCGGTCGCCCTCTTCCGTGGCGCCCAGCTTGATGTGTTTGGGGCGGAAGACTTTTCGCTCCTCGTAGTGCACGCTGGCCATGGCTGCGAGAAACTCATTTTCCTGTTCCTCTGAAGGGGGTGGCACATAGCAAAAGGCCAGGTGCATGATGAAGAGAGCGTCCTGAGAGAAATCAACGGTCTGTTTTCGCGTCACTCGTGTCGACGTTGAATTCATCAAACGGCCCCCCCCTTCAAGGTCAACAAGGTTTGAGATTGGAGGTATTGGAGACAGGATCCCCCCAATAAAGGTGTTGACCTGATATGGATTATGGTTGATGGGATTCTGTGCGAATCATGAGAGTTTGAACCATGAGAACATATGAGAACCATGAGAGCTCTTAGTATATTGGCGCAAGCTTGATCAAAGATCTGATAGACCAGAGCCATGCCAATTGGATCACTTCATATGAGAGGATGGAGGAGGAATGGGAAAGGGAGAATCCATGTGGTGTGGGTGGATGCCTATATACTGGATGGTCTGATTGCATATATATAGCTAGACAGTATAGGACTATGGGCCTTCCAATATGGAGGAGACGAGGCATTGAGGCATTGGACGAGTAAAACTGCTGGCATGGTGTTTGTGGGGTGTATGACATGGGATTTAAAGTGGATCCCAGGCCATGCATCCCACAATGGTGGAATGGTAATTGTTGGATATTGTATATTTTGGATGCCAACTGAAAAGAATGGCAATCACAATTACAATTACAATGGACTATTTGCTGATTTCCCGCGGGCAAATGGGCTTGATTAATAGGGGGATGTTATTTGTGCAAAGACAAAAACATATTAGGGGTGGGATGTTAATGCGGAAATTTAGGTTTTAACATGTATTAAGGTTTATTATTGGGGGCTCGAGCTGGACTTGATTAATAAGGGGAGGTTCATGGATCATGCTGACATTACAAGCTGTTGGGCCTACATAGCACAGAAAGAGCTATTATAGTATAACAGTTGCATAGAAGCTGTTAGGCTATTGCAAGTATCAATTAAACAAACTCTAGTATTAATAGTTGCAAAGAAAGAGTCGAACGTGCTCCACTAACAAATCCAAGCATCCACCACGAAAAGGGCCATGTTACAAATCACCACCATGGTGATCACGAAATTCTCACTTTTCGCAGTGAGCCCCGAGGTGGCTAAGTAGGCCGAATCACAAATCACTGATAGAGTGAGTGCCAAACGCCAGTTCCAAATGGACTGGTAGCGTAGACTACTCCGACAGCTGCATCGGCACCAGCACATGCATAAAGCCTGTTCGGTTTGAGTGACGATTGGAAGACCATCGAAAAAGTACCTGGATGGACACGACCACCATCTAACTGATCACCTTGGCTAAACTATCCAGCCCACGACTTGTGGGCTTCCATTCACCGATCGGATGGTCCTGGTATATATATACTAATTTTCCAAACAGTTTTATGTAGACCCCATGTTGCGGGCTCTTTTGGAATCCAGTTTCGATGATGCTTTTCACCACGCAAGGCAAGGTGTTTGTTGCATCGCTCACTGCTTCACAAACGCGACACCCAAAAACCAACAACCAGTCAAAACGGATCATAGACTAATCGGATGAAGCTGGCCAGGGATCGGGACATGAGGGTCGCCAACCCGCTTCTAGGGTTCAAAGCAGGACACATGGCGAACACCGAATTTACCAAAAATATCCGAAAATGGTCTTTTGAAAGGCTGCCATCTCTCCATGGCTTTCTCATGCCTTCTCCAAGAGTTTAGCCAATTTGGGATTATGTTGTTTCTTGCTTGGAACACCTGGCTTTTTGGCTGGCATTTACGATCATTTACCCCTTCATCTGCCCACCTGCAGGTATCGCACTAGTCGGTCAATGGCCGGCAGTACCCGAAAGGGCGTCCTCAACACACCGCGAGCGATTCGACGAGCGTCCGAAACACAGCAAGTGGAGGCAACATCTCAAGGTCTGTGTAGTTGCGTATCATGTATCCCACTTGCACATCATTGAAACACGACCCTCAGATCGATGGACCAGTGTTTCAAAACGTTTCAACGACCATCCGATGCCCAGCATGCGTAAAAAAATGAAAATACCTGCTCCAGCGCATTGACTTGGCAAAGCCTCAACAGCCAAGGAAGAAGCAATATCCCTAAAGATCCAGTCGTACCTTCTCAGAAGGTGATTGTAAACAGTGTTATGTAGTATGGAGGGTCCAAGTACCTTCCGAGAAGGTACTTGGATCCCTAGGGTATTTTAGTCCAAGAGGCAGCAAGCAACGTAAAACGATGAGCACGGCCGTGCTACCAGAATCAAGCTCGAAGTGCACCGTGGGAATCAATAGTGTGACCTCTTCAGATGAGCTTCCGTCAGGAGACCACAACAACAAACAAGAACACTTGACAGACTGCATCATTTTTTTCAGCAACTTACTGACTTGCATCTTCCTATCCTTGTCATATATGCAGCCACCGGTTGGTTGGTGCAATGGTGCCAGTAGAAACAGCTGCATGGCTGCGGAAACACGGCTTCGGTAGCACTTGAAGGCCCCTTCTAGTTACAGTAAGGGATGTAGACTCTTGACTAATTTATTAAAACCTCCCCATGTGGATTTTAAAACAGTTTAAAACCTCTTCATAATGGGGTTTATTGATGAAGAGTGTTACATCATGAGTCTTCTTATAGATCGTGATCTTCCTTCACAAAGAGTCTAGTCTTGCTCCCTCCACACCAAAAAATAGACACCGAATGGTCAGCGACCGATTTCTGCCTCTGTCAGGGCCAGAAGAAAGAAGAACACAAAGGCGCAGCGTCGAGCACAGCGATCGCAGCCATCGTCCAAGCTGTCGTCACCCAGTTCACCAGGTCCTGGGTGGAGGCGGCACTAGTCTAATCGGACCAGGCGGCAGCCCCAAAAGCGCGAGAAAATGCGGGAAGCCATTTCGATCTGTTGGCGTCTAAGTCTAGAGGCTAGAGTCTACAGTGTCTACAGTCAACATATATAGTGCAATAGCATGGTTTTGTGATTTGGCGACCAAAGCCTGAACTTCCTTCCCGTCAGTTCGGAATCGGAACGATCAGTTCCAATCCCACCGGGACCATAAATCCATGTAAATCCCACCCGTGACCGGTCACCAGACTCTGGTTTGCTAGACATCCGGTGGTTCGAGTAATTGATCATGTTATATCATGCTTCAACCCCATAGATGAAACGAGATTTAACAATCCAAATGGAGGGTTTTTACTGCCGCAAGAGTCCACATCAGTGTTGCCCTCGCCTCCCCAAACTTGCTTGCCCCAGAGTTATTGGCGCACTTGCAAGTAAACCGCGCTAGAAGGAAAACCGCAAGGCCGCCGGGGCCTGGGGGGAAGCCATTCAACGACGTGCTCGAGGCACGAACCTGAACCTGCTCCTGCTGAGATAGACAGTCGCAGACCCCCCAAGACATGCGGAGTGGCCACCAGATCCCCATTCAGAATGTATTGGAAAGCATGCCACGACCTATTTGGGGAACACTATACGTTATATAACAAGGTTCACAAAACACACACAAACCAGGAGCCACAAGACGGGGTGCCGAACTTGGAGGAAGTCGGGGTGTGAACATCCACTCACTGGATGGGACGAGCCACACCAGCCCGAGCGACATGTGACTCCCTTGGTTTCACTCGCACCGAACTGAAACCAAACGAAGTGTCTTCTCTCCACCTCCATCCCGTCGCTGTCTTCGCTCCACCTCCTCTCGATCCTCACTGTCATCCACTCCCCTTCCACCGACATGGCGCATGCCAGGGAGAATGAACAAAATGTCTGAGCCTCACTGAGCTATGTTGTGCTGCTCCACACATGAGGAACAAAAACCAAAAACAAATTTGATGAGGAGCTTTGCAACACTGCTGGCTATCTGGCAGTGTAAAACCGCCAGTGTTTCCATGCTTGAGATTCCATGCCCAGCACCCCGTGGTCCGTGTCGTTCGCTCTGAATCTGAGCCATGCCATCCCGGCCCGAGCGAGGTCACGACTTCAATCGCACTGTCCGAGCGAACGCGTCGACCCGAGCAACCGGCGCCCCATCCAACGAGCCGTCGTTATTTTTGTTTTCGGAGTCCATCGCTGAGTCTTCCGGGTGGGTCATGCTCGTACTTCTTGCAAAGACTCATCAGCCAAAAAGTGTTGACGTATCGTTAGCAGCACCCTCACTGCCAGGTCTCCACCTCTGGAGGCTTCTGTGGACTTCAATGAGACCTGGTGGTGACCTGGCAGTGAGGGTCCTGGTAGATGTCATATTGCAAAACAGCTATAAAACATCTGCAAATGCATTGAGAGGACCCCCACCCTACTGACTGAAGAAACCACCCCAAAACGGTGGTACTGTAGAAGCTTGATGGCTTCAGTCCGCTCCAACGGGCGCAGAATTGAGAACGACGGATGAAGACGGGGGGCGGCCGGAGAACGGGCCCTGCGCGTTTTGGAGAACACACTGACAGTGGTTTCGGAACAGATGGCGCAAAGCCAAGGTCGATGGGTTTTGATATGGGGGTCCATATCAACCACCGACATTGGGGATTGTGCCATCTACTCTGAAACCGTAGTAGTAATTCCGGGTCGTTCCAATTCAACCAGCGAGCGCGGCGAGTGGCGAGTGCTTGTGATGACCCATCATCTCCATCAAACAGGAGGACGATATACGACGCCTAGCTACTTGTGGAGCTCTGAAACGAGGCCTCCAGCAAAAAGCTGCCCAGTGCAGAAGGCGACACGCGCTAGCTTCCCTGCAGGTCCTTGCAGCGTCTCTCCATTTCTCTTGTCTGGGCTTCCCTGCAACGTCCCGGTGAAAATCACGTCCCCGAAATCAAACCCCTACCCTCCACCAACACAAACACTTGATGCAATTTCTGTACACTCTTCAAACCTTCTGAGTGCAACCTCGTTTTCTTCCATCTCGCTGTCTGCTTTGAACACGTCGAACCCTGCTGAACCCGTCTGCCCGGACTCACCCCGCCTCAATGGACAAAACCGCGACGCAGCCATGGACCGGACCGGAGCGCGTCGATTCCGTGCGCCCGTGGGACAAGGCATGGGTGGTGATGGGGGAGTTCTGCTAGGTCAGTCTTTGCAAGAGAAACTTTGGTTCAAAAGTTGGTAAGTTAGGACCAACATTTTGAGCGTGTGAGGCTGAGCAGCCTGAATCTGAAGCACTTATTATATACTGATTGAGCCACAGGTGTTCAGGGTGTGAAGAGCTGGTGAACGGCGGTGTAACCTCTCTCTCTCTCTCCTTTTCTGCATGGCTAAACTCCTGTCGGGTTGGTTTGTTTTTTTCTTTCATCTTCGGATCAGCACATATTTTCCAGCTCTCTGTGAACCACTGACATGGGTGGAGTACAATCACCGCCAATGTGAGCAAATGTGAAACCCACTCTGACCCTAGCACACAGCCACAGCTATGTATATTGTGATATCCTCCATCCTTTGCTCCGGTGCAGGACTACGGCCTCTAACCACCGCAGGCATTTGAGGACCAGGCTGGACGCAGGTTTGGAAGCGATTCAAGGAAGTCCTGCCAGGAAAGGGAGGGATTTACATGGATTTACCATACGAAAGCATCTATAAAGCCGCGCCTGGTGTCATTGGACTTCATCGAGGCACTCCAATCCAAGCAGAATATCACCACCTCCAGTGCTGCATACTCCGCTTTGGATTTGATTTTTAGTGGAAATGTGTGGCAAATGTGACACCAGTGGCACAAATGGTGGAAGAGTTGAGAAGGCATATATAGGAAAATCGATTATTGGTGTGACAAGGGGCATGGATCAGCTTGATACCTTGGAGAGCACGCGCAAGTTCGCGGAGTTTTGGAAAAAAAGGGTGGAGAGAAGCCTCCCACATAGGTGTGGCCAAATCCAAATGTCACAGGCTAGTTGCACCCTGTTGGAAACGAGCGGGGTGCACTTGGACAGGCGGTAAAGTTTGGCCAAAACGGTGGATCAGAAATCGTGCACCTATGGATGCTAGGACATGCTGGGACCTAATCACACTCCGCAGGCTGCAAAGGATTTCCCCAAATTCTACATTGATCTAAGTCGAGGTCTCCAAGCACGACACTTATCTCAAGAATCAATTGCACCCCCCCATAAAAGTACACCGGCATAGACCTCAAATAGCAGGTGTATAGATGGCAACGCCACGCTATTGAAAGTAAAAAAACTCAAAAAAGCTTGCAGCTCTCTGGGGAAAAAAAAAGCAGAAATCTTAGGGATTGGAAGATACCTGCTCCATTTTTCCCCCTGCTCATACCATCTCATACCCTAGGGCCTAGGGCTCCAACCCTATAGCTTGCAGGTGTATTTTTCCGGGATCCAGTCCTACCTTCTCAGGTGATTGGAGACGTGATTGGCCGGAGACGGCGGAACCGAGAGTTCGCTACCCCGCACCTTGGCACCCCCCTGAGAGGACCTGAGAGGACCGCGTGCTTCACCGGAGAAAAGAAACGTGGGTGGGTGGAAACCACGTGAAAAAGAGAACAAGTGAAGGAAACCAAGTGAAGGAAACCAAACCCTTCAACAATTTGCTGGGTCACTTGGAACATGAACAAATCATGAACACAAATCTGGGAAAGTGGTGAAGTCGAAGCGGCACGCATGGACCGTCTGCCTCACTACGTCGCAAGGCGCACGTCGCGGCACTGCGGCAAAGACTCAGGAACAGCTTCACGTGGGGGGGACCTACTGACCTACCTACAGTGGGCCATCAGAGGTTCGATGGCACTGGCACCCCTACATGTCTGTCGACAGATGGGGGTCCATATAAACCACCAGTCACTTGGGGGGCCCAGACGTGCCATCAAACCTCTGATGGCCCACTGTACCCAGTGCATCCCAGGCAAACCACTTTATAAGGAACCAGGAATTCTAGGTCGACTATGGTTTCAGTCTTTGGAACCACTGGTTATGTACCAGCAACATCGTGGTAACAGGATGCCTTGGGGTATTTTACGACGATACGATCTTCGGAATTGCGTGGCCCGGCCGCTCTGGACAGAACACCTCGACCAAGGCCAGAACAGCGGATGGACCAAACAGCGGAACGCGAGGTCTTTCGGAAGCATGACTCACGCGGCCTGCGGAACATGACTCACTCCGTCCATCCACCTGGATTCTGGGATGTTTGATCATCTCCATATCGTATGGTCAAGCATCTCCGCGCCATGCTTTGTACAAAAAAGAAAGATCCCTGTCGCCCCATTCTCCTTCGTGTTCCAAGTAAGTCTTAAAGACTTTAAAGGAACCTCCTAGCGATGGCCTCCACCCTCATAGCCATGGCCTCCACCCTCATAGCGACGACCTCCACCCTAGTAGCGATGGCCCCTAAAAAACCTCCCTGTGCCCCCATTCTCGAGTGCCACACTTGGGTTGGTGCACCAGACCTGAGACGCTGGTGGCGGCTTCAAGTGGCGTGTATCTGTGACGTCACAGACATGGGGCAAGTGGCTTCAAGTGTGTTTCACTCACTGATTTTCTCTCCCTGCATTGAGCCTTCCTTTAGACTCTAATATCATGATCATCTTACACAGTAATCTACACTCTTGATTAATCACCCCACCAAAAATTTTAAATTGAACACCTCTTCAGGTCTGTGGGTGCTACATTTCCTCTTCATCGAGCTTCGTCTGCATGGTTCGGTGCTTCTGGATCCCGGGATGACTCCTGCCTTTGTCGCGACCGGACGCGGAATGAACGGGTCAAGTCATGGTGCTCTCACCGAGTCCGCCCCATGGCCCGTTGCCCCACCAGGACCCGACACCGTGGGGGGTGCCCGGTCTGGAAGCCAGGTAGTGTGGGGTAGTCCAGCCAGGACACCCCGAAAACGGAGGGTCCCAGGTTTAGTGCAGCCTATTGGATTCTGTGCTTTTTTCGGGCGGCGGCCCCCCAAATCTCGCCGGCTCTATTTCCAGGTCATGCCATGCCTGGGGATCGCTGCGCCTGGGATGTCGCGCCGCTAGTGTAAAAGAACATCCAAAAAACCAAACACTCCATGGGACTGCCATCTATGCCGCCCCAGACAGACCCCCAGTCAACCACCCCTGGCCTGATCGGCAGTCATGGTTCGTGTCTGGGAAACAGACCCCATCCGTGAAAAGAATCACACCCGGACCCGTGACATCTCCTTTCCACATCGGTGCATTCATTCGGCTGAGTCTTCCGACCCAGGTGGCACGAGCATGGACCCAGTGGTCACTGGTGGAACCTGAGCCATGAGAGCCATGAGAGCCAGCCCGGCAGTCATGATGGATGCATCATGGAAGTACAGTACCTATCGAAGTCTTCGGATGAGTTCCTGACAAGTTTCATGTTTGCGTTATGTGTTCTTCTTTAAAGTCATTTTTTCTTGAGTCTTTGATGCTCCACATTCTCATGGCCACTTCATTGTCGCATGATCATGTGGATATGAATAGGGAATAGTAAGCGAAACACTTCTCAGCCCCACTCTTGCCCACAGTCCCCCCAGCTGCGGTCCGTCGACCGAGGGTGGGCCCGGGTGGGCCCATAGTGTAAATGCCCCTTACACTCCCGAGTCAACTAACATAGACCCTGACGTCCTGGCTCCCTGGAAGAGTGTTTTCCTCTTACCAACCAGTGGTTTTCAGGGTCGGGATCGTCGCCACCAGGGTGTATTTTTGCTACACTCCCACCAACACACATCACATGGTTACGTGGAGAACCCCCTTAGGTTCGTTTCTAGGATAGTCGTCTTCCGAACGAAAGGGGGCCATGCCATCCACGTAACCATGGAACGTGAGTCATGGAACGTGGTCCTTCGCCA